GATGTATCTGAAGGAAATCAATTTGCTTCCTACTCAAATTGTTTAACAATAGAGCTAAGGAGGATCTTTAGTGATGCCATTTTATATAACTTGAATTTTTTATTTTAATGTTTATTATTCATTTTAAAATTACTTTACCATTAGATTTGAAACTGTTCTAGTAATCTCTTCAAAATAGATTTCTAGGGTGATACTGTGGAAAAAGCACTAGATTTTGAGCCAAAAGACTTAATTTCAATCCTGCTTTTAAATCATTTGATCTGGGTGACCACAGACAAGTGATTTAACCTTTCATAGCTGCAATTCCTTTCTCTGTTAAGTGAGGAGAAAAATCCTTGCATGACTACCTATCTCACTTGGTTGTGAGAGCTTTATAAACTTCAGAGCACTGTAGAAATGAGAGTTAGTGATTTAAATACCCAGGACCTCAATATCAAATAATAAGGACAATGATGACTGATTTATAATTGAAATTTTTTGTCAATATTCTCTAGACTACTTGGAAGATAAGTAAGGAGAGAGTCCAAGATAGGTTTATACATTTCCTTCATCAAGAAGCACTTGAGAAATATCTAGTGAGCTTTGATTATATTCTGTCTTCTCTTCCCATTGAACCCTAGAATGTGAATGTAGAAGGGGCCTCAGAGATCACTCATAAGAGAAAACTGAGGCCCAGAGAAAGGAGGTAAATTGCCCAGAGTGACCGAGTGAGTCAATAAAAATACATTAGTTGGCATTCCAAAAATACAGGGCTCTAAAAAGCAGATTAATGGTCAGGTTTCAGTTTCCTGTTACCAGACAATTTAAGTGTATTTCAGTGTTGACTTTTCTGCAGCATTCTGTCCTTTATCTTCTTCTTTAAGTTCATATCAAATGTCTATCATTTTTCACCTTATAGTTTACATATTAGATTACATTTATAAAATGTATATGTATCAATTGTTTTTTGTCTAGAAAAGTTCAGTGAAATTTCTATAAACTTCAATTTTATTTACTTTTTAAATCATCAAGCTTTTATTTTTCCCTCTCCTACTGGACAAAAAGAAGAAAAAATAAAACCCTTATTAAAAAAAAACATGCATAGTCAAGCAAAACAAATTCTCATATTGGCCATGTCTAAAAAATGTTAAATGTAAATTGTATATATCCACAGTATATCACCACTGATGAATTAATGACAGTAGAACTTCCATTTTTGGATTTAATATCACAGTCTCTGATGGGCTAGATGAGAAATTAGAAATTGCACTAAAGAAAAAATCCCATCCAGCCATCCTCCAGGACATCTGGATCTCCTCAGGATTGGATATATTTCCATCTGTTTTTCACATTATTCCCATTTAACAGATAAGTAAGCTGAAGCTTGGAGGGTAAATCATTTAATGACTGTTAAACAGTTTGTAAGTGTCAGCGTAAGCATAAACCCAGGGCATCCAAGCCCAGCAGTGTTTTCTCTAAATAACAATGTCCCTTCGCAAAGGTCTTTCCTCATAATAACCTAGTTAATATACACTACAAAGAATTTCTTTCTTATTTTACAGTTGAAGAAACTGAGGCTGAGAAAGGTGAAGTGATTTCTTTTCATATAATAGATAATAGATTAGATGAGATAGGTATAACAAAGAAATGATCCCCCCATCCCCATAATTTTCAAAGGCTTGGCTTCAATTCTGTTCCTATGAAAGATGTGTATGAGGAAAAAGAAAGTCTAAATATGAGTTTCCCTAATGAATGTTAAAAATGAAAGCATTCCCTAGACCTGACTCCCTTAGGATGCTCCTTGAAGAAAATGAAATTTTATTTCCTGATTATATCCCCTTTAGATAAAGGCCAGTTTCTTTTATAGCAGTATGAGACAGTAGCCCATGGCAACACAGAGTCCTGGGCAGATTATCAGTTGCTATGTCACTCTTTTCTTTCTTTATATTGGATTATGAAGACAAGGAGGAGCTCAAATTTTCTCTAACTTATTCAGTTCACCTCATTTAAGGATAAATGAACAAGTATGATAAAGTGAAAACCATGGTAAGCTGGACAATAACTATGTTTGTGAACTGACTTTGAAAGGAGGCAGTTTGGAACAGTGGAAATACCACTGGTTTGAAAGGCGGGAGATTTGGGTTTAAATTCCACTCCTGACATTACCTGTTTGATCTTGGACAAGTTATTCAATCTCTCTGAGCCTCACCTTCCCTATAATGGTCATTCAGTTAGTGACAGAGGTGCCTCTTGAAGTCAATTCTCCTGACTTCTAGGCCAGTTATCTTCCCACTGACTCCAGAAGCCAGACTTCACATGTGGGCACTCTCCACATTGGTACAGTTAGGCAGCACAATGGATAGAGCACCAACCCTGGAGTCAGGAAGACCTGAGTTCAAATCTGGCCTTAGATTAGCTTGACCCAGGGCAAGTTACTTAACCTCTGTCTGCCTCAGTTTTCTCAACTGTAAAATGGGGATAATGATAGCACCTACATCCCAGGACTGCTGTGAGGATCTAATGAGATAATATTTGCCAAGTATTTCTTGCAGTGCCTGGCACATAGTAGGTGCTATATAAATGTTATTTCCTTCCATAAATTATAGACTTTTAAAAATATAAAGTAGAACTTCGAAGGGAAAATTTTTTTTAAACATGTTGAATTGATCGTTCATGTCTAGATTATTCAATTGGTTTGGGAATGGTACTAAAGAACCCAAGGTCCTGGGTCACACTCTTCATAAGCCAATTAATTTTATGCTTTTGTGTGCTGTGGCCCATGGACTACAATAGTTATTATATGCAGACTGTTCACCACAAGAGGGTGCTGGTGAGTGTATGCAAATCCATCCTACTCAGAGATTCAATTTCAAGTATATGCTTTGTTAATGGGATGCCAGTATCATTCTCTCTATAGTATGCAAAAGTGTGTGTGTGTGTGTGTGTGTGTGTGTGTGTGATTTCATTGGTGTGGAGAAGCTATTTCCATTCAGATCCTCCTGTAACAACAACAACAACAACAATAAATAGCTATCATTTACACAGAGCTTACTATGTGTTTTATAGTCTTACAGAGTCACTTGGGGTATTAAGTAGTTAGAAAGTTTGCCCAAATGGTTATATATTTCAAGACATATTAGCTCAGGCCCTCTCTCCATTATGACACACTGCTTCTCATGCAAAGAATAATTGTGTATTATAAAGAAATAGATAAGGCAGATTATATTAGACATATTAGACTTCCTAATAATATTAAATTCTTAAAAAGGAAATATAAGCAGTTTGGTAGATTTGTTTGCAAAATCTCCACCAATCACAGGCCACTGTTTTTATCAATTTATGATGATACAATCATGGACTTTAAAGCTGGAAGGGACGTTGAAAACAATTGCATCCAATTTCATCATCTCACAGACAAGGACACCGAGACCTGGAGAGGTGAATGTAGCTCACCTTTATGTAGCATTTAGGCTTCTCACAACAACCCTATAAAGTAGGAAGGATAAGTATTATCATCTCCACTTCACAGATGAGAAAACTAAAGCACAGTGGCAAAGTGGGTCACCATATATTTATATGTCACTTGCCCTCATGGCTGTAACTATGGCAGAGTTGAGTGTGGTATGGTGAAGTTGAGATTTGAATTCATGTCTCTTGACTCTAAGTCCAACATATCTGACCAGTACTCCATGTTACATGTTGGATAAGGTGATGTTCCTTTCCCAAGGTCACATTTGTGGTAAGTAAGAAAGGGTAGTCAAGCCTACGTTCTTTGACTCCAAAGCCAAAGTTCTTTCTACCACATTCTATCACATTTATTGGGCAGACTGCATGTTAGGAGATCAAACAGTTAAAATTATTGTTATCGATGATCTGAAAAGTGTTAGCATTCTCTACTCACTTTGTTTCACTCTACCACTATCATTGTGAAATCAGAAGGGGAGCTCTGAAGGCTCTTTGGAGTTTGATTCTGGAAAACAACTTCCATGGAAGACAATCTTGCCAATTCCACTAAGCTGACTATACTTCAGTTGTGGACATGGCTGCATGTGTCTCATTCAAGGACCAGTTTATGTGCACTAAGGATCGTTGCCAAAAGTCTATATCTAGAATAATAACTGGTACTTTGACATTCTCTCAGCTTTTCTTGTAGATCACAAGGAAGGTGGTTTCTCTAACAATCTACTCTCCTGAGCTGTAGTGGATCAATATCAGCTCTAGTTGTGGGGCACCAACCAGAGCAGTTCCCAGTGTCCTCTCAACAAGAGGTTAGGTGGGATGCATATTCAATTTGATGAGAGGTGTCCCCTTCCAGGTAAGGTCCATGCCCTGAAAACCCCTCAAGGTGACTGAAGGACACATAGTAAATGATCTGGAATCTCCTGATAAACTACTGCTGCACTGTGGCTAGAATGCTGGTTCTGGAGTCAGGAACACCCGGGTTTGAATGTGAACTGAGACAGTAGCTGTGTGACCCTGGATGAGCCGCTTAAACTCTGTTTGCCTAAGTTTTCTCATCTATAAAATGAAGATAATAATAGCACCTACTTCCTAGGGTGTACTTTGAAGATAAAATGAGATATTTGTAAGGCATTTTGGAAACCTCAAAGTGCTATATAAATGCTATTATTGTTATCATCATTATTGTTGTCATCATCAATATCTCAAAGATCATAAATCATCTCTAAACTCTACTAAATTGTTTGCTATACTTTTCATGAATGTTAGTTAATAATGCTGATAAGAATGTCTTCTAATTCTAATATAATCTGCCTTAGACACATATTTGTAATAATCAAACCTCTCTTTTCTCCAAGACCATGTTGAATAGTGGAGCTAGGATTCTAATTTTAGACTTTGGGTTCTTCTCAGTATACAAGGGGAACCACCATTGTTTCATGTTCCAGTAGCTCAAGAACATTCATTTGCTCAGCTCATCATTACCAAATCTAAGGCACCAACCAAGGCACAAAATGTCCTCTTCATGATCACAACTCTAATCTGGTCTTCTTCTTCCCTAGATGGATGAGATAAAAGGCAAAGACAGAGTGATCCTGGCCTTGGAAAAAGATCTGGGTGTGCAGGCAGGCCACACCCAGAAGTTACTTCTTCAGAAAGAGGCATTAGATGAACAACTGGTACAAGTCAGAGAAGCTGAGCGTTACCACAGTAGCCCAAAGAAAGAGCTTCCAGGGGGAATTGGAGACCTCTCCGAGTTGATGGGCTTCTCGGTAAGGCTGTGTGGTCTGATGGGACTTGTTCCTTCATAATTCATCTGAGCTTTTTAATCAAACATCTATTATGTGCAAGGTACTGTGTATGTGTGTGTGTGTGTGTGTGCATGTGTGTGTATGTTCGTGTCTATGTGTGTTCATGTCTATGTGTGTTTAGCAAGTCATTGGTAGAACTTTGGGAGGTGGGGGGGAATAAATATTTATGTAGAACTTACCATGTTCCAGGCACCGTCAATTACATTTATTGTTAGTCTCCTAATCCTTTCATTCATTCTTCCATTCATCCAACAAACATTTACTGAGCACCTAATAAGTCCAAGGCACCATACTAGGTGCTGGGGAAGATACAAAGATGAAGAAGACATGGCCCTTGCCCTCAACGAGCATACAGTTTATTTGGAGAAATAAGACGGGTGTAAAAATAACTATAAAACAGATTGGTAATGGTGTGGTAGTGGTAGTAATAACCCACATTTATATGATACCTTACTGCTACAAAGTTATTTATATCATTAACTTTTGAGTCTCATAAGTGCTCTGAAACAGCTAGGTGGCATAGTGGTTAGAATGTTGGACTTGGTTGGAGTCAATAAATAAGAAAGGAGGAAATCAAGAATTTAATTAAGAGCCTACTGTGTGCCAGATACTGTGCTAGGTGCTAGGTGCTTTACCAATACCTCATTTGATACCTCACATTTGATCCTACCTGGGAGGTAGTTGATATTATTATCCCCATTTTTCAGTTGAGAAAGCTGAGGCAGTTGAATGTTAGATGATCTACCCACGGTCACATGGTTAATAAATATCTGAAGTTGGATTTGAACTCAAGCCTTCTGGACTTCATGTCTAGCAATCTGTACACTGCACCACCTAGCAACCTACAACTCAATAACATTTGTGTTCAAAACTTCCCTCAGAAACTTACTAGCTGTGTGTGTGACCCTGTGGAAGTCACTGAATCTCTTTCATCCTCAGTTTTCTCTTCTATGATATAGGGATAATAATAGCATCTACTTTATAAGGTTCTTATGAGACAAGATTGCAAAATTTAAAGTGCTATTTAAATTTATATATTTATATATATATATGTATATGTAATTATGTGGTATAACATATACATAATTATGTATTATACATATATAATTAAGCAGTGCAAGAATTATTACTCTTATTTTACAGATGAGGAACCAGGGCCTTAGTGAGAGGAAGTGACTTATCCAAGGTCACAAAATGAATAAGTGGTGGAATCAGGCCTATTCCATGTCATATTAGACTATTATAATTTCCTTGGAGAGGTCCAATGTGCCATGAGAGATCTGAGGAGGTAAAGATTATTTTTATTTAGAAGCATTAGGAAAAAGGCTTCATGGAGAAAGTATCCTCTGAGTTAAACTGTAAAGGCCGGGATAAGATTTCAGCAGGTAGAGAACAGAAGAATATTTCAGGGATAGAGGACAGGATGGCAAAAACTCAGATAAGAAATTAAAAGAGAATTTCAGGGAATGGAGAAGAGTGCTTTTTGGCAGGAGCAAAGTCTGAAAAGAGGCTGGAAAGGCAAATTTGGAGCCAGATTGTGGAAGGAACTTGAATGCCAGACTGAGGAATTTTCATTTTATTCTTTAGGATTTAATTGAAGAATTTTAAGCAAGACAGTGACATAATTAGAGTGTTGCTCTTTAGTAAAAATGTCTCTGGTAGTAGTATGTAGGATAGATTAGGGTAGGGGCAATAGGGAAATCATTTTGAAGGCTAAACTATAAGGGTTTTTTTTTAAATCACTTTGAAATGTAGGGAGTTTTTAGTACTTTTTTTCTCCTTTAAAATCTGTTACTTTTTTTTTTTTCAGGAGCAGCATATGGATGAACGAGATGTACGTAGGTTTCAGCTAAAAATTGCTGAGCTCAATGCAGTAATCCGGAAGCTAGAAGACAGAAATACCCTGTTAGCAGATGAAAGAAATGAACTGGTAAATCAATTTCTGCCAATACAGATGGCATTTTACTGCGTAGAAATTAAGGGTACTTAGGGGTAGTCAGCTTTTCCAGGAAAACAGTTCAATGAAAACTTGTTTATTATAAATCTTAGAATCATAGACTATTAGAAAAGTGACTTGGGAACATTATCAAGCAAAAACTAAATATCCATGCCAAAAGATAATGTCGAGAAGAGTCTTGATCTGGGACAGGGTGCACAAAGATGTCCTCTGAGGTCTCCTTCATGTCTGAGATTCTATGATTCCTTGAATATTGAACCTAGAATGTTACAACTGAAAGGAACCTGGGAACATAGTACATAAAATTTTAAAACTGGAAGGGACCTTAAAGATACCATCTCGTTCAGGAATTCTTAACCTTTTTGTGTCATAAACTGCTTTAGCAGTCTATAGAAGCCTTTGGATAACTTCTTAGAGTAATGTTTTTAAATGCATAAAATGAATTACAGAGAATTACGAAGGAACCAACTAAATAGAAATATAGTACGAAAAAAAATTAAAAAGAGACCAAGTTCACAGATTCTAGTTTTTAAATCCCTATCTACCTCTCCTTATTTTGGAGACAGGAAGCCAAAGCTGAAATTGGTTTAGTGATCCAATAAATCCAGAATGAGGATAATGATAGGTAATAATAATAGATTCAGACAGGACTTAGGACTCATGCCTGACTCCTAGTCTAGTTTCCTGGTTTTATAGATTTGTTATAGACTTATAGTTTATTTTCTTCTCTGTTCCACGGGGAGTAGGTTAAATTTTTTTCTTCTAAATATATTGTAGTTAGATTGAAATTGTGCATACATGTTTTAGTAAGAATTATAGGCTTAATTCTTTTTTTATTAATTTAATATTTTAATTCCCCTCCCCTAATTACATGTAAAAACAGTTTTAACATTCTGAGTTCCAAATTTTCTTCTTCGCTCCCTTCCTCCACTCCCTCACTGAGGAGGCAAGCAATTTGACATAGGTTATACATATGCCATCATGCAAGATGTATTTCCTTGTAAGTCATGCTGTGAAAGAAAACATGGATGTACCCACATGGAGCAAGATGACAAAGTCTAGGGAATTAAGAGTAGAGCAAAGAAAGAATGAAAATGACTGGCCTGGGCCTTCTTTAAATGGTGGTTCAAGGTAGGGATCACTATTCAGAAAAGGGGTCAGAAGGGCAAAGACATCACCAGGATGAAAGTTTACTGGGGGTGGAGGGGAGTCCAGAGAGTCTGCAAGAGAGCCAGGAGAGAAGTAGGATGGCCAGAATTGAAATAATTTAGAAGAAATGTAGGGATTATTTTGAATATTCCAATGAAAATAATATAGTTTTTCTTTTTGGAGTAATGTAATACATATACAATTTTTCTCCTAGAAATGACATTAAGATTTTTTGCTTTTGATTTCAGTTTTATTAAAAAATGTATGCACCAATAACAACAATGAGATAACATTTGGTATGTTAGCCAAAGCAGTTCTTAGGGGAAAATTTATATCTCTAAACGTGCATATCAATAAAAGAGAGAAAAACAGATAAATGAATTGATCATATGACTAAAAAAAAACCTAGAAAAACAACACATTAAAAATATGCCATTAAGCACCAAAATAAAAATCCTTAAAATCAAAGGAGGGATAAAAAATTGAAAATGAAAAAAAAGCATTGAATTTTTAAGTAAAACTTAGAGCTGGTTTTATGAAAAAAAAAAAGCAACAACAACAATAAAATGGATAAACCATTGGTTAATTTGATTAAAAAAGAGAAAAAAAACAAATTACCATTATCAAAAATGAAAAAGGTGAATGTATAACCAATGAAGATTAAACTGAAGCAATTATTAGGAGCTATTCTACCCAACTATATGCTAATGAAACTGAAAATCTAAAGGAAACAGATGAATATTTAAAAAAATATAAATTGCCCAGATTAACAGAAGAGGAAATAGAATACTTAAATCCAATTTTATAATAAGAAATTGAACAGGCCATCAATGAGCTCCCTAAGAAAACATCCCCAGGACCAGATGGAATTACAAGTAATTCTACAAGTAAATTTTATTTTATTTTTAATCTAGGGAATGAAACAAGCATTTCTATAACATAGTAGAATAAAAAAGATGATTGCATATATAACTGCAAGTCTGCTATGAACAATTTGCTATTCCTTTCAAATGTGCAACAAAATTATCATATAAGTTTCTTGTTTATTTTTTTTTCTTCCCTCACTCTCCTACCCTAGAGATGGCTACTAGGTGAATTCTATTTTATAGAGAAATTAATTCCAAAACCCACACGAAAAATTGACATTTTTACATATTACTAACGAAGCTCAATAGCAAGAGATAGAAAGAGAAATTCCATTTAAACTTACTGTAGACATTATAAAATATTTGGGAGTCTACCTGCCAAAACAAAACCAGGAACTATGTGAACACAATTACAAAACACTTTTCACACAAATAAAGTCAGATCTAAATAATTGAAAAAATATCAATTGCTCATGGGTAGGCTGAGCTAATGTAATAAAAATGACAATTCTATCTAAATTAATTTACTTATTCAGCAATATACCAATCAAACTACCTAAAATTATTTTATAGAGCTAGAAAAAAACAATAACAAAATTCATCTGGAAGAACAAAAGGTCCAGAATATCAAGAGAACTAATGAAAAAAAAATGCAAGGGAAGGTGACTTAGCTGTATCAGATCTTAAATAGTATTATAAAGCAGCAATCATCAAAACTACTTGGTACTGGCTGAGAAATAGAGTGGTGAATCAGTGGAATAGGTTAGGTACGTAAGACACAATCGTCAATGACTATACTAATCTATTATTTGATAAATCCAAAGACTCCAGCTTCTGGGATAAGAAATCACTATTTAACAAAAATTGCTAGGAAAACTGGAAAATAGTATGGCAGAAATTGGGCATAGACCAACATCTTATACTCTATACCAAGATAAAGGCAAAATGAGCACAGGATTTATATATAAAGACTGAAAGTAAAAGCAAACTAGGAGAGCAAGAAATAGTTTACCTTTCAGATCTATGGAGAAGGGAAGAATTTATGACCAAACAAGACACAGAGAACATTATGAAATGCAAAATGGATACTTTTGATTACATTACATTTTTGCACAAACAAAGCCAATGCATCCAGTATTAGGAGGGAAGCAGAAAGCTGGGAAACAATTTTTATAACCAGTGTCTCTGATGAAGGCCTTATTTCTAAAATACATTGGGAACTGTGTCAAATTTATAAGAATACAAGTCATTCCCCAATTGATAAATGGTAAAAGGATATGAACAGGCAGTTTTCAGAGGAAGAAATTAAAGCTATCTATAGTCACATGAAAAAAAATGATCTAAATTACTTTTGATTAGAGAAATGCAAATCAAAATGACTCTGAGGCACCACATCACACCTATTAGATAGGCTAACATGACAAAACAGGAAAATGATAAATGTTGGAGAAAATGTGGGAAAATTGGAACACTAAAGCATTGCTGGTGGAGTTGTGAACTGATACAAACATTCTAGAGAGCAATTTGGAACTATGCCCAAAGGGCTATAAAATTGTGCATACCCTTTGACCCAACAATAGCACTTCTAGATCTGTATCCAAAAGAGATCATAAAAATGGAAAAAGGACCTACATGTACAAAAATATTTATAACAGCTCTTATTGTGGTGGCAAATAATTGGAAATTGAGGGGATGCCCATCAATTGGGGAATTGAACAAGTTGTGATATATGAATGTAATGGAATACTATTGTGTTATAAGAAATGATGAGCAGGCAGACTTCAGAAAAGCCTAGAAAGACTTATATGAACTGATGGTGAGTGAAACGAGCAGAACCAGGAGAACATTGTACACAGTAACAGGCGTATTGTGGGTTGACTGACTTTGATAGACTTAGCTCTTCTCAGCAAAGCAAGACTCTAAGACAACTCCAAAAGACTCATGATGGAAAACGTTATCCACATCCAGAGAAAGAACTATGGAGTTTGAATGCAGATGGAAGCATACTATTTGCTCTCCTTTTCCTTTGTTATTTTGTTTTATTGCTTCATTCTCACGGTTCCTCTCATTAGTGCTAATTGTTCTTTACATCATGACTAATGAGAAAATATGCTTAATATGAATGTATAAGTAGAGCCTATATCAGATTGCACACTATCTTGGGGGAGGGAGGAAAAAGAGGAGAAGAAAATTTAAAACTCAAAATCTTATGGAAGTGAATGTTGAAAACTAAAAATAAATTAATTAATTATTAAAAAAAGAAAAAAATTAATTCCATTATTATATAAACTATTAGAAAAAATAAGTAGGGTCCTATGAAATTCCTTCTATGACATGAATATGGATTTAATACTTAAATCAAGGAGAGCAAAAAAGATAAAGAAAGCTGTAGATCTGTTTCCCTAGTTCATATTGATGTAAAACTTTTAAATACTAGCAAGGATATTGCAGTCATATATCACAATGATCATATAATCTCACCTAGCCTAGATTTATACCAGGAATGGAGGACTGATTAAGGATTAGGAAAACCATAAGTATAGTTGCTTGACCAAAGTGATAACAGAACCAGCAAAAAACATATGATTATATCAATAGATGTAGAAAAGGCTTTTGGGAAAAATACAATACCCATTCCTATTAAAATGCTAGGAAGCATAGAAATAAATGGATTTTTTTCTTAAAATCATAATATTATTTATTTAAAACCAAGAGTAAGCATTATCTTTAATGGCGGTAAGCTAGAAGATTTCCAATAAGATCAAGGATGAAGCAAGGATGTCCATTATCACTTCCTATTCAATTTTATACTAGAAATGCTAGCTATAGAAGAAAGACAAGAAAAAGAAATTGAAGAAATAAGCATAGGCAATGATAAAATAAGACTATAATTTTTTTGCAGATGATAAGATGGTATACTTAGAAAACCCTAGAGAGTCAATTAAAAAAGAAATTAGTTGAAGCAGTGAACAACTTAAACAAAATTTCACAATATAGAATAAACCAAAATGAATCATCAACATTTCTACATATTACCAATAAAATCTAGCCAGATGAGATAGAAAGAGAAACTCAATTCAAAATAACTACAGAAAGTATAAAATACTTGGGAGTCTGCCTGCCAAAACAAACCTAGGGACTATATGAACACAATTACAAAATACTTTTCAAACAAATAAAGACAAATCTGAACAACTGGAAAAATATTAATTGCTCATGGGTAGGCTAAGCCAATATGATAAAACTAACAATACTACAGAAATTTATTTATTTATTTAGTACCATACCAAATTACCAAAGAACCATTTTATAGAGCTAGAAAAAAAATAATAAAATCCATCTGGAGGAACAAAAGGTCAAGAATATCAAAGGAATTAATGAAAAAGAAAAGTGAAGGAAGGTGGCCCAGTAGTACCATATCTCAAACTGTACAACAAAGTGGCAACCATCAAAACAATCTGCTACTGGTAAGAAGTAGAGTGGTTGATCAAGGATAGATTAGGCACATAGCATGCAGAGGTAAATGACCACAGTAATCCTGTATTTGGTAAACTCAAAGAACCCAAGTTAATCGGGCAAAAACTCTGTTCAGCAAAAACTACTAGAAAGCAGTTTGGCAGAAAGTAGGCATAGATCAAAAATTTCACATCATATACCAAGGATAAGCTCAAAATGTGTAGGTGATTTAGACATAAAAATAATATCATAAGTAAATTAGGGGAGCCTGAAAAATTTTTGTTGTTGAGTTGTTTCAATGTTGTCTGACTCTCTGAGAACCTATTTGGGATTTTCTTGGCAAAGATATTAGAGTGGTTTGCCATTTCCTTTTTCAGCTCATTTTACAGATGAGGAACTGAGGCAAACAGGGTTAAGTGACTTTCATAGGGTTGAATTCAGGTCCTTCTGAATCTAGTCCCAATGCTCTTTTCACTGTGCCACCTAGCTGCCCATGGAAAAGTTACTGATGAACTATCAGTAGATCTCTCACCTAGCCCAACCATTTTGGAGAACAATATGAAACTGTGTCCAAAGGGCTATAAAAATGTGAATACTCTTTGATCCAACAATACCCCTACTTGATCAAACCCGAAAAGATCAAAGAAAAAGGAAAAAAAGGTCATATATGTACAAACACATTTATAATAGCTCTTTTTTTGTGGTGGCAAAGAAATACCCATAAATTGGGGAATGGCTGTGAATGTGTGAATATAATGTAATACTATTGTGCTAAGAAATGATAAGGGGGATGATTTCAGAAAAATCTTAGAAGACTTATATGAACTAATCTAATGTGAAGTGAAGTGGGCAGAACCAGAACAATCTACATGGTAACAGCAATGTTGTAAAGATAATCAACTGTGAAAGACTTAGTAACTCTGATCAACGATCCATCATAACTACCTAGAAATTTTAATGTAAAATGCTATCCATTTGTAGTTTGAGAACTGATGGACTCAGTGAAGATTGAAACATAGATTTTTCCTGATTTACTCCCAGAACATGACTAATGTAGAAATATGTTTTGCTTGACTTCATATATATATAACGGGTACTATATTTCTTGCCTTCTCAATGGATAGAGCAGGGACTTGGGGGAGGGGAGGAGAAATGAGAACTGAAAATAAAATACAATTTTTAAAAAAGTATGCACCAATAGGGATCCCCAATTTACCGCATCCAGAGACAAAAGTGAGTAGGCTGCCAGCTTTTGTGCAGTGAAACGGCAAGTTAAAAAATGTTTTAATCACTGTAGGAGAAGGACATTGTCAAGCTTACAATTTCTCTCTGATCTCTTTTTTTCCTTTAAGCTCCTCTCTTTCTGTCAATTTTTTTCTTGGTGAGATCTATAAAAACTAAATTATTTCATTTAGGTGTCATGGATGCTGAAGGTAGTACAGTTCATTTCAACAAATATTTGTTAAATGATTACTGGGCACGACATGGCATTTGCCCTTAGTATTAACAAAATGTTAATTAAGCAGATCTGTCCTCAAGAAGTTTGGAATTATATAATGGAGAGAGGATAAAAAGGATATTTATTCCTTTATTCAACAAGCAGTGATCAAGCAGAGTATATAATAATGCAATTTGATATGATAAATGGTATAAATAAAAATGAAATTACAATTTAGCTATATTTGTAAGATATCACTTAAATTAAACAAATAATTATTTTTAACTAATGTATATAAATCCATGTACTAGACAATGCACATTCTCTTTTAGTGATGAGGTGGGAAAAGACTGAAGGTGCTAAGGGGTGAGTGGAAGTGAGAAAGTAAAGAGAGGGAGTGAAAAGTATTTTTTGGAGCAATTGGACAATGAGGGGGAGGAGAGGGAGGAAATGATAGTTCTAGAGAGTAACAGAATCATAGGAATTGATATGATGTTTTTTTTAGAATGGGGAGTACTCTTCTAGAATGTTCATAGATAGAGAGGAAGGAGAAACATTTTGGTGCCGTAGAAATGGCATTGAATGTGAAGGCCAAGGACTTTGGCTCAAATCCAATCTGATACTTAACTTGTGTTACTTGGCCAAGTCACCAACTTCTTTGGATCCAAGTTTCCTCATCTGTAAAATGAGCAGAAAAAACTAGTGTAGATGACATCTAAATTCCCTTCTAGCTCAAAATCTATGGTATCATATTATCAGAGAATATCATTCTAATTAACTCATGAATGATACTTTCCATTTGTATCAAGATTTTTGCCCTTACAAAGTATTTTTACATCTGCTAGAAATTAAATCATTTGATTATTATAACAGATCTATGAAGTTGGGGATTATTACTCTTATTTTTTAATTGATGTGGAAACTGAGGCTCCCAGGAGTTAGAAGATTTTTCCAGGTTTATAGAGGTTATTAGGTGATGGACCTGGGACCAGATTTTGCATTTCCTAGTTCCTGATCTATACTTTCCAAATCTTATGCTCTAAACATTTCTTCTATTAGAGCTTCCTGGAGTTTTTAAAAGGCTGCTTTTAAGGAAAGGCAGCTTTAAATAGAACTGAGAGGCTTTAAGGGAGAGACAGAGGGAATAAGATATGCATAGTGTCTGAAAAGGAATGGTAAATGTATGGTTGACTTTCTCTTTTACCAGCTTATACCTGACAATCGGAGTCTTTCTTTCTAGGTTGAGGTTTAAGCATCTTTGATCCCTAAAGAAGAAGACCAGGAAGGTATTACAAGCTAGGCTCACAGCCTCAATTTCCCCACAGGCTTGAAGGTGAAATATCTCTACACCCTTAGGTTAAGGAAATTAGGAGTGAGGCAGAGAAAAAGGAGTAATGTTATATGAAAGATCAATGGGGTAGTATGGGGAAGTGGAAATGTTACTGTGGTTTTTGATGTATGGAACTAGGGAACCAACATGCTGAAGGTAAGGATATATGTGTGTCTGTATGTATGCACATATATGTGTGTATATGTATATGTATACACACATACATAGACACATGTCTATGGCTGATTCCAAACCATTATTGGAGTGAATCATAGGTACTCTTTGATAACAACTGGATTATAGGAAGTTGATTTCATTTCATCATTTTCAGTTGCTTTCTAATTTAGGTCTCCTAATTACTGCTTCTTAAACTGTGAGTCGGGACCCCATAAGAGGTCGTGAAAAATTTCGCAACATTAAAAGGTTTCTGAATGCGCAAAAATTAATTCGAAATCAAATACATAATTAATCTGAGGTGTTTCTGGCAGCGCTTGCCCATGTTGCATTGTGAAACTTCACTGCAGCCTTGGTTCTGAACATAAAGGATGCCCACTTTGTATTGTGCATGCCCTCAGGCCATGCAACACCAATGAACACTGCCAAAATGTGAGAAGGGGTCACGAGTGGAAAAAGTTTAAGAAGCCCTGTTCTAAGTAATCAGATAGAGGCAGGTACTGTAATGTGGCTAAAGGGACAACCTTTAGAATCATAGAGACTGAAGTTCAAGTTTTATCTCTGATCATACTAGCTGTTTGGGCAGGTCATTTGATTTTAAATTTCCCCACACAACTTTTTAAAAATCATAAATTACAGACAAGTTACTTATCTGCAGAGGAGGAGGGAATTTCTCCACTGGGAATTCCTGACACTGATGAAATAACAGTGTAGACATTTGAGTCAGGACACCCCTCTCCCCCACCCCACACACACCACCACTACTACCACCACCACCACCACATACATACACATGCCAAAAAAAAAAAAGTAATCAGAAGAAGTGCCTTTTAGGCTTTCAGAAAAAACAAAATAAAATTTTCAGATTTACTTCACTGATGGGATCAGGAAACAAAAAAGAGACAAAGGATACAAGTAGGGTTAAGTGTGGTAAAATCCCACAGACCTTGTTCTTCCATGTATGGCATATTTTGATGTGTCATTCTTGGCTGGTTTGCTCAAATATCTAGAACATGGTACTAATGGAACCCAAGTCATAGGTTCAATTTACCGTTTGGGCCATTGTGTTTTGTACATGGTCTTGGGTTAGCTGGGTGATGAGATAAGTCACTGTCTCTGGGCCTTGATTTCATTCCTTATAAAATGAGTGTGTGGAGATAGATAATCCCCAAGGTTCCTTCCATATCTCTAACAGCATGATTCTCTTAGTGTTTCTCTTACAATTTTTAAAGCCTCTCAGTCTATATCTTTAGGACTTAAATTTATTTGGTCACTTTTCTCCATTAAAACCCTAGTTGAAACGTTCTCGTGAAACAGAAGTTCAGTTGAAACCTCTTGTTGAAAAAAATAAGAGAATGATGAAGAAAAATGATGACTTGTTGCAGAGTATACAAAGGATGGAAGAGAAAATTAAAAATCTCACAAGGGAAAATGTAGAAATGGTAAGTCTTTTAAAACATGTGAATAGTTCCATTTCAGCAAATATATTTTATGTATCTTCTATGTTGAGAATGCTAAGCATTCTGTGTGGGGATTATTTAGTTCCCTCCCTCATATCAAATCTTTCAGGGCCTAAACTACTTTCCTTCATGTTCAGGAAGACTTTTGTGACTATTTTGAGCCTATGAGGACCTCTTCCCCCTCTAGTCCAGTAGTACATGTAATCTCCTTTTTCATATAATCTAGTCACTGGCTCTATATGACTGAGCATTTTTCTTTAGTCATTTCATGCATGTAAGACTTTTATCCCTAGTCAACTTCAAGATTTTCATGGGTATGAAGCATGTATTTTACCTCCTCTGTGCCTTTCTCTGAATTGAGGTCACATAAGAGGTTTAATAAAAGCTGGGTACATGTAAGATATGTAATAAATACTTTTCCCCCCTTATAAAACACTATCTCCCATTCCCAGAGTATACAAATATTTTTTAAAAAGGTGAATTTAGTATTATAGAGAGGCAGCTAGGTGGCACAGTGGATAGAGCACTGGGCTTGAAATTATGAAGATTCATCTTCCTGAGTTCAAATGTAGCCTTAGACAGTTTACTAGCTGTGTGACCCTGGGCAAATCATTTAACCCTCTTTGCCTGAGTTTCTTCATTTGTAAAATGAGCTGGAGAAGGAAATGGCAAACCACTCTAGTATCTTTGCCAAGAAAACCCCAAATGGGGTAATGAAGAGTTGGACATGAGTGAAACGGCTGAACAGCAGCATAGGGAATCAATATAGTTTGATAGAATTTAGGAGTTTGAGTTAGGAGACCTGGCTTCAAGAGCTGAGTATAATAATTACTAGCAACTGTACATATTGTGCAATTTCTCTGGGACTCAGTTTCCTCAACTATGAAATGTCTAATTTGTGTATTTGCTATATTGAGAATGCTAAGCATTCTATGTGAGGATTATTTGGTTCCCTCCCTCTTCCCATATCAAATATTTCAGGGCCTAAACTACTTTCCTTCATGTTCAGAAAGACTTTGATGAATATTTTGAGTCTATGAGGACGTCTTCCTCCTCTAAAGTTCAGTATAATATAACAGATAATAATGTCTAACACTACTTTCTTCAAGGGATAGGTGTGAGGATAGCGTTTTATAATTCACAGCATGCCATGTATACATATGTAAGGAGTATAATGAGTGGGGTACTGAACCAGTAGTCATGAATACCTGACTTCAAATCCTGCCCTGACCCTTTCTATTTGTGTAATCATGGGAAACTTACTAAGCTTCTCTGAGCTTCAGGTAACTCTTAAGAGTGTAATTTATAGAGAGTTGTGTTCATCACTACTGAAAAGAGTTTACACTTGAACAGAATTATTGATCCTTAATGTATTGACTACTATAACACATACAATGTAAGCTATTATGCATTCCTTATCTACCATTAATTTGACAAACTGCATTAGTCAATGCTGCTTCAAGGAGATCATCACCTGCAAATACAAAATAGGTTTTTTAGGACCAAAATATAGTGACCTATTGAATCTCAACAAATATGGGGACTTGTAGCAGTAAAATGAAAATCTGTGTAATGAAAGGTAGTACCATCATGTCTAAAAGTTAAATTTGGTTCAATTTATTGTTGCTCTATTTTTTTTTTCTAGAAAGAAAAATTGTCTGCCCAGGCTTCTTTGAAACGTCACACTTCCTTGAATGATCTCAGCCTTACCCGGGACGAACAAGAAATTGAATTCTTGAGGCTTCAGGTCATGGAACAGCAGCTAGTAATCGATGATCTTTCCATGGTACTGACCACATTGCTTTTTTGTTTTTCTCTCTTTTCTTTGCTGTTTCTTTTAAATTTGAAATGGAATGTGCTAGTAGAGGGATTCTTAAACTTTTTGGTCTCAGGACCTTTTATATTCTTAAAAGTTATTGATGACCTTCCACCCCACATATCCATTGATATTTACTACATTAGGAAATAAAATGTGTTAGTATCATCATAAAAATAGTTTTGACCTTGTGGATTTCCTAAAAGAGTCTTGAGGATGACTTGAGGTCCCTGAACCACACTTTGAGAACTTCTGTGCTAGCTGAAAGTGACACTAAGATACCAATCTCAGTGTCCTCAGAGTTGTATTCTTAGGAATTAATGGTCAGAACATTTGAGGACACATTGTTCTTTGATTTTTCATAAAAGTTACACTAAATTCAGTATTATAATGGATATTTATTTCCATAAATTTGTTTCCAAAATTATTTCCATAATTTTTATGACTAAATGATAGAGGCAATGTGGCTTTGAAGTCATGAAGATATAAAGATATTGGGTTAAAGTGCCATCTTTGACATTTACTGAATGTGTGACCCTAGGCAAGTCACTTGAGCTCTAAAGGTCCCAGGCAATTATCTGCAACAGAGGTTCTTAACCTGGAGTCTGTATTTTTTTTTATATTTTGATAACTGTATTTTTTAAGGGGGGGCAGGCGAGGCAATCGGGGTTAAATGACTTGTCCAGGGTCACATAGTTAATAAGTGTCGAATGTCTGAGGCCAGATTTGAACTTAGGTCCTCCTGACTCCAGAGTCAGTGCTCTATCCACTACACCACCTGGCTGCCCCAGGATAACAATTTTAATACAAATGGTTTCCTTTGTAATCTGATGTATTTAGATTTGTACATTCAAAAATATTATTCTGAGAATCTTATGTATTTTATGCCTTCAAAACTGTTATTCTGAGTCCACAGGTTTCACCAGATGGCCAGAAAGATCTACAACATCAAAAAGGTTTACAACCTCCTGATGTGCAGTTTTAAATTTCAGAACTTGTATTAGTTTGTATTATAGATAGTGTTTCTTTACCTCATGGTTCCTGTTATCAAGGAAATCATACATCCCTATGACTTAATGATACCTAGGCCACAATAGGAAAAACACCTTATTTTCATGTTTCTCTTAAAATTCTTTCTGATATACCATCTCTCCTCTCACTGTAAATGAGTCTATATCAGGGCTGTCAGGTGTAATGGTAAGGTAGCTGGATTTAGAAGCAAGGGACCAGAGTTCAAATCCTGAACCTGACACTGATGAAAACTATAGGTGTCACTCCATTTTTCTAAGCCTTGATTAATTGTAAAGTGCAGATATGTATGCTATCTTTTTCAAGGAGCTGTTGTAAGGAAAGTGTTATGTGAAGCTGAAACTTATTAGCGCTCCTGAAGTTAGTCTTGTATAATGGCCTAGCATACTGAACTTAGGGCTAGGAAGACCTAAATTTAAATCCTGCCTCAGACACTTGCTAGCTATGTGATCTTGTGTAAGTTACTCAACTCCTCTTAGCCTCAGTTTCCTCATCTGTAGAATGGGGATAATAATAATAGTTCCTACTTAGAAGGCTTGTGGTAATGATAAAAAGAGGTAATACATGTAAATTTCTTTGCAAACCTTAAAGTGACAAGTGCTAGACATTATGATTAAAATAGAAATGTGAGACATCATTATTCTTTCACTTTGCCTTTTTTTTTAGACAAATAGATCATATGTGCTTCTCAGACCCTCATATTTCTTTTTAATCTTGAATATTTCAGGGTCCTAATTCATACCCAAGATTTTGAATCTTATTTTTTTTCCAAGAAGAGTATTGAAAATTCACTAAGCAAGTGTGTGTTTCTCTGATGTTTCTTTGCCCTCAGAAGATAAATAGCACTGAGTTAGTGTAGGTGTAAGTGTCTTATTTAGTTCTGCTGTTTCACAGATAGAGTCCTGCATATCTCTGACTCTGCATAAAATAAATCTGAGACCATGCAGAAGACCATTTATCTTCAAGACATATCTAGGTTGACCCTCAAGCTAATATTACGTGAATATTATTGTTTCCCTGTCAGGGGTTAGGACTTGGATGGGGAATTTTTTCCTGAATGAATTTTTGAAGAGATTATGGAAAAGATAGGCAATCTACTAGCCACCAAAATTTTACTTATTCCATGTTATTTATTTTTAAATTTTTATTATTTATTTTTAACATTCTTTTTAAATTTTGAGTTCTAGATTCTCTCCCTCCCTCCTACCCTCCCACCCACTAAGAAGGCAAACAACATGTTATCAGTTATGCATGTGAAATAATGCAAAACATGTTAAGCTACCAATATTTTAGACAAGCCTATGTGGCAAAGTCACAGTGTGATTTTGTTGTCTATTCTGAGAGAAATAGAATCACTTCTGTGTGCCTGGTCAGATACTGAAATGAGAAACATTTAGAGAATCTTGAGACCAGATTTGCAAAATCAGCTTGATTTTTCTTTTGCATTATTTAACCCAAGCTAAAAATGACATCTGGTTTATTTCCTTCTAGGAAAGAGAACGTTTATTGCGCTCAAAGAGACACAAACGACTGCCAAAACTGCCAAAGGTGAGATATTCCGTGCCTCAACTGTCCTCTAGTGGGGGTTAGTCCTGAAATGCCGGCCACTTGGTTGTGTGCTGCCAGCTGAAGCTGTGCTCATGTCCCAGCCCTGTGTTGAGGGAGGCAAAAATAAATAGGATATTGGTGTTTAGGGATACATCTGAGAATGGGGAGGGGAAGAAGGAACATGGAACAAGGCTTAGACTGTGGTTGAATCTATTATCCAAAAGAGTAGACCAAACATCCTCCTAAGGTCGGAGCCAAGAAAAGTTCACTACAATAAGGCAACTACATTGAAAGGTTATACAGGGAACCGAAGTCAGGGCAGCAGCTCTATAGCTAATGGGGTGGAATGAAGAGGAGGCTAGGGAGGAAAAGTAGCAGAGTGGGGAGGAGACAGAGAGGGAACATTCTGTCTAGAGTAAGTTCAGGAAAGAAACATGGAGAGAGAGGCATAGTGTCCTCAGATTATAGTTTGCTCTATCAGAGACTGCTTCTTTTTTGGGGGGCGGTGGTTGGGGAAAGGTGGTTTGATAGAATGGCATGCTGATAATGGCAATCCTATCCACTCTCCCTCCTCACTCAGCTCTATCTTTCCCACTATAAGTCTGGACACATAGATTCTCATGAGAGAGAAAATATTGCAATTTATCTACTTAATGGCTTTTGAATTCAGATTTACCATCTTTTTGTGCTAAGGGCATATTACAGGCACAGCTATCCTCATAGTCTTTGGGGTATCTAAGAGAGTTGATTTCATTAATCTCATGTTAGGACTTGTCTGCTGCCTTCAATTTTATAACACAGATAGAAATTATGACATCTTTATGCTAATAAAGAAATGAAATAGGTTTAGAAGAGACCCAGTAGACTAAGTAAGCACATTTCTACATTTGTCAGACAGTTCTGGAGCTCCCAAGATGTCAGAAAGAAACACAAATTATTTTGCCATGTTATGTGACCCAGTTATTATTTACTGATGAAAATGTTACTTAAATGTTATGACTTTAAATCTCAGGGTATATGAACCTAAATTCAGAACTTAAATCATTGATATTTTGAAGTGATTAAAATATTATTCCTTCAGTTTTAGATCATGAAATAGGATGGCCAGAATGAGCCCTGCTATCCTTTAAAAATGAAAGATATACATATGTGTATGTGTGTGTGTGTGGTGTTGTAGGAGGAGGAGGATAAGGAGGAGGAGGAGGAGCATGAGGAGGTAGAAGAAAAAGAGATAGAACTAGTAGAAGAAAGGATTCTTCTGGAAGATGCCCTCTTTCCATTTTCCTGAAGCTCATCTCTTAGCACGAGTTCCAGCTGAGAGAACACATTGGGAGGAGTGGGTATTCAAGCCATTTCTGCCTACCCAGACAGGATCCTATCTTGCAGGGCATTACCGACAGCCTGAAGTTAGTACTTGGAAGCTCCTAAACTGACAAGATGCTGGTGTAGACTCCCGAAGAAGCAGAATCTATATATACGGTTTCATTAGCCTCTTTGACTGGACAGGCTGCTTCAGAGTTGCCTATTGAAGTTTTCACTCGGTGCTCTTTTGGTTGATCCAAAAGAGATCCTTCTAGAGTAGGGAATCTTAATCTTGTTTCTGTTCCTTCGGCAGTTTGGTGAAGCTATAGCCCCTTCACAGTATAACATTTTAAAATTCATAAAATTTAATGCATAACACATGGTCAAGAACACCTGTATTTAGGTCATTTATAAAATCTATTTCATGAAGATAAAATCCAAGAGGCAAGAAAAAAGTTGGTATTAGGCAGTGTTTCTAGTTGTATGAGAAATATATTTGTTTATGTTTATCATCTGAAGCACTTGACAATCAATTGAGAGACACTATTGATTGAATCAGATACAAATGTCTGTTATTTAACCTCAACTGGCCTCTCATTGCTACACGACACTGGTTGTTCAGCTTATTTGGAAGAGGAGGAAATTGAGGCCAACAGGGTTAAGTGACTTGTCCAGGGTCATACAGCTAGTTAGTGTCTGAGGCTGGATTTTAATCCACGTCTTCCTGACTCCATGCCCGGTATTCTAGCTACTGCACTATCCATCTAGCTGCTCTTGTGATGATGGTCATCATCTCTTATTGACTCTCTGACACATTGTTTATGTTGTCTTTTCTAAATTTCCACTTAAGCCTCTAGAGGCCTAGTCCCACCCTCATCCTTTCTTGTTCTATGAGAAAGCCTCCTAATTTTCTAGCAAGATGGAGTCTGTCATAGGGGAGGTCTGTCATTACCTCATTTTTATCACTCCTAAGCTGTGAGCTTTTGGCCAAGGGTTACATTTCTTTTTATCTTTGTAGCCCTTAACTTAGGATAATGCTTTGCTTATTGTAGACAGATCCATTTTAGTTGAATATGAATTTGTTTACTATATGTCATACATGAATATTTACATTTTGTTACTTTGATGAAGCCAGGAGGCCATCATTTGGTTATTCTACACACTGGTGAGATACTTTTGGTCTGTGCCCTCAATAAAACTTCTTCGGAATATATTTATCTGCTCAGTGTTTTGGAGGTCTTCCTGTCCAAGTAGAATAGACATCTGTTATCCTTCAAACTTCCTACATGACCAGCCCACCTCATATTCTTATCATAAATATCCTGAAGGACATTTCATGAATATAAGTCAACATTAATAACATTCTGTGACATGCTTTCGTCCATTGTAGTGGGGGGATATGGAATAGAGGGGATGCTATATCGTCATGGGTCTCCCCAGTTCTCTTTGGATGACACAAGGATTTGATTTTTAAAAGAAAAAAAATGTTATTCTCTGATTGACAGTCATTTAGCATAACCAGAAAATACTGATCTTGTGAAAATGTCTGTATCAGGAATCATTGAAAGAACTCTACTATTTCTTTTTTTATTGTACTTTTTTTTTAGTTTTTAATTTATCCCCCACCTAGCTCCCCTCTCATCCCCCCAATTTAGAAAAAAAGAAAACTTGTAACAAATATGCATAATGATGCAAAGCAAATTCTAACATTAGCCATATCCAAAAATATGACTCATTCTGAATGTGTGTCTGTCACCTCTTTATCAGGAGGTAAGTAGCTCTGTCTATGGCCCTCTGAAATTATATTTTATAATTTTATTGTTTAGAATTCTTGAGTCTTTCAAAAATTGCTTTTCTTTATAATGTCATTATAGTAAATTGTTTTCTCCTGGTTTTGCTCATTCAATGGTTCATTTAGATCTCTATTTTCTCTGAAACCTCCTAATTCATCACTTCTTATAGTACAGTAATATTAAATTCATATGCCACAAATTAGCCATTACCCAATTTTTGTTGTTGTTAGTTGTTTCAGTCACTTCTGACTCTTCATGACCCTATTTGAGGTTTTCTTGGCAAAGATACTAGAGGGTTTTTTTTTTTCCATTCCCTTCTCCAGCTCATTTTACAGATGAGGATCTGAGGCAAACAGAGTTAAGAGACTTGTCCAGGGTCACACAGCTAGTCAGTGCCTGTGACTGGATTTGAACTCATGAAGATGTTTCTTCCTGGTTCTAAGCCCAGAGCTGTAGTCACTGTGTCACCTAGTTGTCTCTATTACCCAATGGATAAACACTTCCATAGTTTCCAGGTTTTTTTTTTGCAAGAGCTACAATGCATTTTATATGTATGAGACGTATAGAATTCTCCCAGAAAGCCTTGCCATTTAGAAACAGATGCAAACAGCCCTGCCCCAACCCAATCCTGAGAGCAAAACCAGAAAATACTATTCATCTGAGTCAGGATTGCTCTCTGATGCCCTGAAGAAGACCAAGACTACATGCCAGAATGTAACTGGGAAACTAAGCAATGAAGCCAAACTCTTGTTGATACTGAGGTAACATCCAGCCCTGAATCATGCTTGTCTTTTAATTCAGCAGATACTTACTGACCATACACTCTGCATACATTTGTGCAAAGCGTCTTGAAGGATACAAAGCATTATCCCCATCAAACTTAAAGAGTTTAGAAGATAAGAAAAGATAGTAATACTGTTACTGCTGCTGCTAATTCACTTTCTAAATCATGATGCAGTACACAATCTAGTTAAATCCATTGAGCCCTGCAAGACAGTAATGAAAACATAATCATGTTTTATTTTGTTTCCAAACCATTCATTTGTGTATTCATATATTCTTCTAAAATAGGTAATTTTGTTTTGATACAGCAAACATTTTGATATGGCAGACATTTCCAAGAAATATTGAAACAAACCATTTATATATTCTTGTATATACATTTATCCATTCAGAGATACATTCTCTGAATTTCAGTTTGAATCAGTTCAACAAGCATTTCTTAAGCACCATCTTTATGCCAGACACCATGTTAGGGAGAGGCAACAAATTGATCAATCAATACATAGGCATTTATCAAATATTTACCATGTGCTAGGCACTATGCTAAGCCTTTGAATCAAAAACAAAAACAAAACAAAAAACAGAAAACAAACAAGCAAAAAAACTAAAGTGAACTTTAGTTCCTGATTAGGAGAGGCAATTGTATTCTGACATGGGACAAATAAATGCAAAAGATATGCAAAAGAAACAAAAATAATAGGGGGTAGTGGGGTTATGGGGAGATCAACCCCCATAGTTTATTGATAGTTACAAGAAAGCAGCAGTGTATCCCTTACCTTTGGCTATATGGTACTAACATTGATGATTGTCTTTGACCAGTTTTGTTGCCATTCCATGTTGGCGTTGATTATATTGTTGTAGTCAATGTGCATAGTCTTCTTCTGTTCACTCTACATCACTTCATGTTAGTCTCCATTTCTCCAAATTTTTCATGTTTGTCATTCTGTATGACATAGTAATATTCCACTTGGATCATAGATTTAGAGCTGAAAGGGACCTTCGAGATCAGCTAGTCCAATCCCCTTATTTTAAAAATATTTTATTACTTTATTATTAATTTTAAAATGTATATTTAATTAATTATACAATTAACTTATTATTTTATTATCATATATTATTAAA